CAAGTGACTTTTACGTATTGACTTTGTATCCTGCAACCTTGGTATACTCAATCCACTTTTTGGGTCAATTTTTGGGGAATTTCTACATAGAAAATCATGTAATTGCAGATGAAAACCATGTTATTTCCTCCTTTTCAAACAGTATACCTTTTATTTCCTTTACCTGTCCTTTTGCACTAACTATGTTTTCAGTTTTATATTGACTAGGAATGATGAGAGAAGATTTGCTTTACTTGATCTCAGTCTTTGAAGGAAGGCAGTTTCACATCATTAGGTACACTGTTAACTGTATTTTGTAGATATTCTCTATCAACTTAAAAAGTTTCCCTCTACTTATAATTTGCTGAGGTTGTTTTTTTTTTTAAATCATTGATAGGTATTCGATGTTGTCAAAAAAATTTTTTTGTATTTGTTGATGTGATTATTATACTATATAATTCTTCTTTGTTGAAATGGTAGATGACATTGCTTAATTTTCAAATTTGAATCAGCCTTTCATTCCTGCATAAATCTCATTTGGTTATGGTGTATAATTCTTTTTATACATTTTTTTCTTAAATGAAGACTTTATTTGGCAGATTAATGAAGCCCCCTTAATCCCAGATAAAATAATGCAAGAGGATAGATTCCTAGACAATTTTCTGATAAAAGTATTGTATTTCTAAATTTAAAACAAAAATATCACAGGTATCTGTTTAGGAATAAACTTATAAAAGTGAATAGTCAAAATAGGTGAGAGCTAGTGAACAGTGAAATAACATCTATACACAACAAAGAGGTGATTGAGATGAAGAATCCTATAGTCACCCCAAATTTCATTCCTTTGTCATGATGAAAGGTATTATTTGATGAGCAAAGATACATGAAGAATATTCCCATTTACTAGTCCCTGACAAAGAAAATAATTAGAACAGAGCTCTCTCTGGACAACAGATTAAGCACAACACAGCTCTCTGACAGACAACAATACTTATACATAGTTAACCTAACTAGATAGTACTAGAATGATTGCAAGTTTGCAATACAAATGCTAAATATTCTTGAAGTAGAAGCAACACTATATTTGGGAAAGTGTGATGACTAACTGGATCATAGCTACTTATAGTTGTTGAATTCAACTTGTTGCTATTTTGTTGAGCATTTTTGCGTGTATGTTCATGGCAATATTGGTCTGTCGTTTTCTTGCATTGTCTTTATCTGCTTTTGCTATTAGGGCAATGTTGGGTTTTTTTTAGTATAAGAAAATGTTCCCTCTACTCTTTTCTGGAAGAGATTGTAGAATATTAGTATTTTTCTTTTCCTTAAATGGTTGGTAAAATTCACCATTAGATCCACCTGGCCCTGATGATGTATTTTATGGAAAGCTATTAACTATTAATTCAATTTTTAAAATAAATGTAAGATTTTTGAGTTATCTATTTCTTATTGTATGAGTTTTGGCAATTTGTGTCTTTCAAGGAATAGGTCCTTTTCAGCTAAATTATCAAGTTTTTGGTCATAGGCTTGTTCATAATATTCCTTTATTATCCTTTTAATTTGTGGTATCAGTAATAGTGATGCTTCTTTTATTTCTCATTGTTAATTTGTGTCTCTCCTTTTGATTAGCCTGATATATCAATTAGATCTTTTCAAAGAATGAATTTTGGGTTTTATTGGTTTTTTTTTGTTTCTTTTATATTCTTAAAATTTTCATTGAGTTATGTTCTAATTAATTTATCACTCCAATTTTTTTATGTTAGAAACAAAGTCTTACTCTGTTACCCAGGATGGACTGTGGGGGCATAATCATAACTCACTACAGCTTCCAATTCTTGGGCTCAAGTGATCCTCCTGCCTCAGCCTCTAGAGTAGCTGGGATTTACAGATGCATGCCACCTTGCCTGACTGAATTTTTAATTTTTTAATTTTTGGCAGAGATGAGGTTTCACTGTATTGCTCAGGCTGGTCTTGAACTCCTGGACTCAAGTAATCCTCCTGCCTTAGCCTTTCAAAGTGCTGGGATTACAGGTGTAAGCAACCACGCCAGCTGCTCTAATTTTTACTATATTCTCTTTTGTTTGCTTGAGTCCTAAATTGCTCTTCTTTTTCTAGTTTTTCCAGTTTCCCAAGGTAGAAGTTTAGATTATTTATTTTAGATTTTTTCTTTTTCAATATATGTATTTAATGCTGTCAGTGTTCCTGTAAGCATTGCTTTCACTGGATCTCACAAGCTTCGCTTTTTTTAAAGATTTCTGCTATCAATTTCATGATCATTTTTTTGTTTTCCATATGTTTCTTACTTATAGCTTCATGTTCCTGTTTCATGGTTTTCTCTCTGAGAACATTAATTACTTTCTTTGGAGATTTCTTCTGCTTCCTGCATTGTCTTTTCCTCCAAATTCCTTTTGTTTGTTTGGTCTCTGTATGTTTTGTGTACTCCTCTATGCTTTATTGAATTAAGATGCCATGATATTGTTATTAAAAGTTCTTCTTAAGTATACCTGTTGCTTTTAAGTTTTTTGCCAGCATAATTATTATTCCTTTGAAAGTGACCTTTTCTCTCTGACTTCTCTATCTTTGGAGTTTAATAGTTTTATGGTAGTGTTTGAAGTCTCGATTTCTCTTTATATTGCTTGGTATAATGTATATCTGGTGAGTTGCATTTTTCAATTCTGGAAAAATTCCTGACATTATCTTTTCAAATAAAATTGCTGCATGTTGTCTTTTCTCCTTATGGGACTCTGTTCTCATTCCGTCATCAGTGTCTCTTCACCTTTTTTTTCATATTTTTCTCTTCCTCATCTCTCTGGGCTGCATTTTAGGTAATTTTAGAGAGGTCTTCCAGTTCCTTTCATTCTCTCTTAATCTCTGTCTAATCATTTTAACCCTTTTGTTTTTTTTTTTTTTTT